CATTATCCAGTTGAATCCACTTAATTGGATAATTAGGGTGGTGAGCCCTTAGCTTAAAAATTGAGCTAGGAGTTTGAAAAATGCAGTGTTTTTGTGGACAAGAGACACACGTGTGACCAACTTTTAAAAGCATTAACCAATACCATAAAATATCTAAGTGGTCGGCATGGAGGTTGAATCAGTCCACAAATGTCCCTTGAAGCCTTTGAAGAAAGGTTGGAGGATCCGTGAGGATGCTGTTTTGGGATGGTTTATAATTAACTTACCCAATGAACAAGTTTGACATAAGAAATCTTGAGGGATGTAGCCTAATTTTCTGGTTAGGGGGTGCCCATGTGTGACTTTGAGAATACGGCACATTAAACTGCGTCTATGATGTCTCAATCATGTCAAAAAATTGGCAAAAATCAAAATTTAAAGTTCATTATGATTCTAAATTTAGGATACTAAATTACTAACATTATACTAGCAAGCTATTTAAATTAGATGGAACCAAAACTCAAAACCAACAAAATAAATTACAAATTTATTTTCAATTGACTTGCAATTTAATAGTTCAAACTTTAAGGTTCTAGTTGTTGATGAAGATTGGCCATATGGGCCCGTTCTCCTTATTGATAGTTGGCCCCTTGTAGAAGATTGACATCTTCCCCTCGATATAGTAGTTATAGATTTGGTTGTATTACAACAAAGGTGTTAAACTTAGAAATCGACAAGCAGGAGACCTAGCCTTGAGAGAAGTCTTCCAAAACACCAAAGTCACAAGAAAATGAAAACTCGGGGCAAACTGGGAAAGCCCTTGCAAGGTCACAAGTGTAGGGGGCAACATAAATTACCACTTAAGAGCATATGAATGGAACCCCAATCACCAAAAAGTGAAACATTGCCAAACTTAGAAAGTATTATCCATAAGTGTGTCACATGAACTACACACGGTTTGATTCCTTTCTAGGATATGTAGGAAGTCCTCTCCAGAACCAACGGCAGTGCCGCCGCTTGTGCGCAAACAAGTCCACGGAAAACTCATCTCTTTACACCCTTCCATAGGCTTATCATCAAAAGTAATCTCTGGTGTAATTTTTTCCATCACATCATCTTTTCTTTAGAACTACACCAATGATTTGATCCTCATCTCTAAGATATGCAGGCAATCCTTCTCGGATTCAATCATACCCCATTGTCAATCAATTTTGGTCATGAATAATGAGCATCTATTTGTCTAAAATACATGTTCTTTCTTTATTTTGTAGTGATGCAGGTAGTGCCCTACTCGTTCAAAAACAAGGTCCAACTTTGAAAAACTTCACATGAATGCAAGTCTAAAAAGTTCAAAAGTTACACTGTCAGATGGGCCTTCTTTAGCCCAATTCGTTTAGAATGGTTAACAACTTGAGAGACTTGAACTGTAATAAGTGCGGTAACGATTGGCGGGCTACGAGCACATGGCTCCTTGACCTAGAAGTCCAAAGCACCATTCGACCTTCGAAATGTCTATACAATGATTGGCGTGCTTTTTCTTGATACTGCATGTTTCGATGGTCATGAACTTCATAGTGATTTTAGCACTGATGTCGCACCGGGCGTGCCAAAATTTTGACCATAAAAAGTACCAAGACTACGTGGCGTGCAAGCCAAGTAACTAATGCGCTAACTGCATCATTTGGTTGAATGCGGGGCATGCCAACTCGATGATCGAGCTCAATTAGTGAGTAAATGAATGTGGTGGTAGTGGTGTCGAATGCACTGCTAACTTTTGTGTCTTATGATTACGGTTAAGGAAGGAACTCGCCTCAACATTGGGGTTCTAAAGCATGAAAACAAGGCTGCTAGTTTCTTCGAAGTTCACAAATTGTAGGTGCCGGGTTCGCCTCCCTAATTAAATTTGTGCAAATGTAAGTACGCCAAATCGGTACTTGACTGTATGGACACAAATACTCAAAAGAGATAAGCATCTTGATTGTAAATGTGGTTCGGCCGTCTAAATGTCAAACTCCTTACTGGGCGAGACTTGGATAAATAACCAGCTGAACTTGAAGCAGTGTTGTTAAGACTAATTAAAGGTGCTTATCGGTCGCCTGATTCTACGACTCCAGTGTTGTTAAGACTAACTTAAGGTGTCGTCGGTTGTCAATCACAATGCTGTTAAGACTAACTAAAGGTGTGCTCGACGAGGTTAGGACGGTTAGTGTTTTCTCAAAAATGAGAGATTTCGTGCAGAGTGAAGGTTTGCGCAGGGTAGATATGTTTGTGTGCTTGGAGAGGCTTTGAACGTTGGACATCCTCTCTTATTTATAGTAGTAACTTTCCTAGTACCGAGGTAGAATCTTACCAGGACCAAATTTCATCGGCATCTTTCTTCTTATCAGAATTGGACTTCGAACACTCCTACCAACCTTAGGATCCTGAATTTGTCCGTCTTATTCGATCCATTTCTTTATCCTAACCAAACTCCTTAAGAATTCTAAGGATATTCTCACTACCGTGCTTTTCGAGTTTTCCTAGTAGAATCAAACCTAGCTTGGGAAAACTAGCTTTTTATCACAATACACAAGTGAAAGTGCCATTAGATGATTTCTTCAAAATGGCAACCTTACCCTTCTTTTCTCCTTCATCCCAGTTATGGACTCCACCTTCGTTTCTCCAGTTTGAGTGATTACTCTTTGACACCGTGCTACCAAAATTCACTACCCCATCCCTTCCATCTCTTCCTGTTACCTAAATTCGCCACTTTATCTCTCTCCCAATCCACACCAAATATAAGATCCCAACCCATTCCCTTCTAGGTGATAACCTAGATCCCACCCACCCATCCACCACCCCACCCCCTAAAATATGTGACACACTGGAAGAGGGAGCAGATACAACAGCTACGAGAGGGACTGGCAACCCCAATCTCCTTTCTGATCTCGTCAATGGCATATATGAGGGGGATTGGATTGCTGGCCGATACAACGACTACGAGGTTGAGGGTTGGGCAAAAGGAGCTAATACAAAGGGCAATACAAGCAAGGATTGAGACGTGGTTATGAGGATTGCGGATTCTCGACAAGAGATTCGTATGCAGGGGAAGTACAATTGGCAAAGCCACAACATCGGAGTGCAGACTTGTACGATGGCAGTTGCTTTGTTGGCTAGATAAAGAAGATGGAGGAGATGAAAATGAAGAAAATGAAGAAAGACAAAAAATGAAAAAAAAGATGAAGATGGAGAAAATAAGGGAGATGACATTTCTAGAGAAGGGAGACTTCCAGAGAGATTATTAATAAAATATAAATAATAAATAAAAAATATTATTATATTTCATCTAACACTATACCCTTTTTAGTCTTTTAAAAGTTTACCAAACACTTGGAAATTTGTTTTTTTCTTTTTTTTAAAGCACTTTTATTAAAAAGTTTACTAAACACTTAACAATTTTATTTTATAATTATTTATTCTCACAGTACATCAAAATTTTTTATTTTTTTTTTAACACAACAATACTAAATTAGCCCTAAGGGTTGATCAAACCAGTCTTTGTTAAATATCTAATTTTAGGTGTTAACAGGTATAATAGTACTTTCTTGATTTTTAATTGATAAAAGGTATTTTATTAATATATAGTATAAGTTAACTACATTATTACTAGTCTATTGTAAAACTAAACTCATCACTTCCCGTAGATAATATTAGTTCTTAAAAAAAAAAAAAATTACGTAGCATAAGATAAAGAAAAAGAAGGCTGAAAATATTTTGTGACTTTTGACAAAATATATATATATATATATATATGTATGTATTTGGGCCTTGTTTGACAGCGCGGACTGTACTGACTATTTTTGTCAGATAGGATAATTAGTCACTGGATAGTACTGACTAAATTAGTCGGGCGTTTGGTGCAGTATCGGACTAATGACCGTATTATTTATACTGTGTTTGGTATTATACCAGATAGGAGGAATCAAACTTAAAATTAAATTAAAAAAAAAACTGAAATCATCTCTTTTGTTCCCATATCTCTCTGGCGCACCCCCCCCCAACCAAAAACTCCCTCCCTCTCTCTCCCTCCTTCTTCTTCGTCGTGTGCTCCCCTGAAAAAAACCCCACCACAAAGGCAGCAACAAGAAACCCAGCAAAACCCACCTTCCAAATTTTCATCGTTTTTTTCTCAATCCTTCTCTTTTTTTACCTACAAATCAACCTAGCAAAAGTAAAATGGTTCTGAAGGATATGACCCAAAGGAGGCAGATGGGTTCTTTAGCAATTCAAAATTTATAAAATCAATTGCAAAATTAGAGAGAAAAACAACAATCTGATTCAATCTGATTGAAAAAAAAAAGTTGGAAGAAAAATAGGAGGGCATAACAGAGAGAGAAGAAGAAAAATTGCAAGAAAAATAGGAGGAGGGAGGACCAACAACGTGTAGCCGACGCGACTGTAGAAGATAAAGATAATCTTGGTTACTGCCACTGTTGCTGCAGGATGGCTAAAACCATTCGAGTTTCATCAGTCCATCGCGACTCCCCTCTTTCATGCGCTTACGCCGTTTGCAGTGATCGGAGAAGGAGGAGGAGGAGAAGTTGCAGGAGGGTGGAACAGAGAAGGAGGAGCAGGAGAATTTGCATGAGGGCGGAACAAAGAAGGAGGAGAAGGGGAAGAACCTGGGACGGAGAGAGCGAGAGAGGCGCGTTTCTACCTGACTAAATAATACCGTGGTTTTGGGCGGTATAACTAATCGGGTATCAACCGGATAAAGGAGGTGGGACCGGATTATTTAATCCGATGGCTATTTAATCCAAACGAACATCGAACACCATATTCTATATCATTAATACTATCCGATGCTTTATACGGTATGCCAAATAGGACCTTGGTGATTGAAAGATACCTAACTCAACACAAAAATTGAAATTTCGACTAAAAAAAAAAAAAAAAAAAAGATCAAAAATTGAATTAGAGATAAGAATGTTCGGTTGAAATACGAAAGTACCCCTAGCCTAAACAGATGAGGATACTTTTACCCTGCATCTCTCCCGATTCCCAATCAGTCCCTGCGTTTTCACTTGGGCGCCGGCAGCAGCTCCTCAAAGAAACCCTAACCCTAACCCCCAAATCTGTCTATCCACGACGCTGCACCCCTCCTCTAATGGCGAAAAAACGAAAGCTTAGCTCCTCCGAGCCCTCCGAACCCACCAAAAAGCAACAACAGGTCGTAGTGGAGGAACCCAAACCCCAAAACGAACCAGCAGAGGAAGTAGTCGAAGAGGAAGAAGAAGAAGTCGAAGAAGAGGAGGAGGAGGAGGAAGATGAAGGAGCCGACGAAGACGAAGAGGAAGAGGAGGACGAAGAGGGGCCGGGCGGTGAGTATAAGGAAACCGGTAACATAACCACGACGTCCGCCTCAGCCGCTTTGGATCAGGCCGGTGCAGGTGATGACGAGGACGAGCCGATCCAGAATCTTCTAGAACCATTCACCAAGGAACAGCTTATCTCCCTGCTCCTCGAAGCTGCCGATAACCACGGCGACGTGGCGGATCGGATCCGGAAGGTTGCGGATGAGGACCCAATCCACCGCAAGATCTTCGTCCACGGTCTCGGATGGGACACCAACGCCGAAACCCTAACTGGTGTGTTTAAGGAATACGGTGAGATTGAGGATTGCAAGGCTGTTTGCGATAAGGTCTCTGGTAAGTCCAAGGGTTACGGTTTCATTCTCTTCAAGACTCGTTCTGGGGCCCGAAAAGCCCTAAAGCAGCCCCAGAAGCAGATCGGTAATCGGATGACTGCATGCCAGCTGGCGGCGATTGGCCCTGGCCCGGCTCCTAACGCCGCTGCTGGACCTATGGCAGCCCCGGCGGCTCAATCCCAGTCGATGTCGGAGTACACGCAGAGGAAGATCTACGTGAGCAATGTTGGGGGGGACTTGGACCCCCAGAAACTTCTTATGTTCTTTTCTAGGTTTGGAGAAATTGAGGAAGGGCCACTAGGGCTCGATAAGTTGACCGGGAGGCCTAAAGGGTTTTGCTTGTTTGTGTACAAGTCGGCAGAGAGTGCCAAGAGGGCTCTGGAAGAGCCGCACAAGAATTTTGAGGGCCATATTTTGCATTGCCAGAAGGCCATTGACGGTCCAAAGCCGGGCAAGTTTCAGCACCAGAACCAGCACCACCACAAGTCACATAATTCCAAGTTTCAGAGGAATGAGAATTCAGGTTATGCAGGTGGAGCTGCATCAGGAATGGGCCATTTGATGGCACCTGCGAGTGGGGGGATTGGATTTAATCAGGGGGCTGCTGCAGCCCAGGCATTTAACCCAGCTATTGGGCAGGCACTGACTGCTTTGCTTGCAACACAGGGAGCTGGCTTGGGGCTGACAAACCTTTTGGGGACTTTTGGAACAGCTCCGAATGTGAACCCAGGTGTTCCTGGTGCAGGACATGTGATGCAGGGTGGATACGGGAATCAGGCAAGTATTAGTCCTGGGATGATGGGAAACTATGGAAATCAAGGTGCAATGCAAGGTGGCTATCCTAACCCGCAGTTAGGGCAAGGTGGTTCAGGAAGGGGGCAGCATGGCGCTGGGCAATCTGGTGGCGCTCCGTACATGGGGCATTAGGTGCCATGAGGTATAACAAATTCGCCCTTGTACTTGGTAATTTGAGTCATCCTCATCCAAAATGATAACAAAGTCACTCCTATATTTGTTCCTTTTTGCTAGATGGCAGTAAATTTGGCTTTTAGATTGATTTTCAAGAACCAAATAAATGACTTTTCAATTGCCTATAAATTCCACCACTATGTAAGATTTGTTAAAATTGCCCAGCTGATGCTGGATCTCTTTATCTGGGAGTTGGCACAAACGAAAATTGAAAATTTGGGGTGGGTTAATTTCAACCCTTTGGTATTTTCAGGGTTCTTCAAGACTATACAAATAATTTTCTCTTGCCCTCTTTTGAATTGAAAATCTTGGGTTCTTCCCCTCTTGAGCTATTTGATAGTGTCTGTTACATGCTCGATACCTTGGCTTCCAATTCTATTGCAATTCTATTTCTATCAAATATTACAGAAATTTCGGGGTAAAGAGTCACTAATGAAAAGACCGTGTGGTTTTTGGCACTCCTGTTCATAGACCCTATATGTTTTTGCATGTATCCTGCCATAAGTTCACTTTTTGAATGTACTTGCGTCATGCATAGGTTATATCAATCTGAGTATCTACTGTTGTGGTTTGATGCAACTTTAATGCTGACATTTTCTTTGTGCTCCATTGTACCACTCCAAAGTTCAAACAAACAGATGTCAAGCTGGTGCTCATGTTAAACCATATTATAAAACCTACAAAACGAACGCTTATGAGTTCTAAAGCTTATTCTATTGAGTGATGCATTATTTGAACAATGTTTTCAGAATTGTTATACCATTTGAAGGCTCCTTTATTATCTTTTCCCAAGCTCCTAATAATGGATCTCTCTGAAATTCTTAAATTTAAGAGTTTTGAATCATCTGAGTTTTTGCAGCAAGTTCATATTCCATGTATAATTTAAACGTTGAGACCAGTTCGCCTTTTGAAGTTGAAATCTAACTAGTATTCCCATTAAGGGATTTTGGGTGCTAAAATCTTTTATCTCTTCTGAAAAATTTTTCATATTTTTTTATTAAATGTGCAGATCCCACGTAGGTGCATCAGTCTTTTTGTACTGGTCTGGTGATTCTTCTGAAGTTTAAAAGGAGCTGATGGTTACTACAAAGAGCAGAATCTTAAAACTTTCAAATGATATATCTGTTTTCCACCCCTTTTCTGTTTTTGTGTTTTTAAAGTAGTGTAGTTTTAGTTTGATTTGTTTAAAAGCTCAAGAGTTTGAGAAATTACTTATAAACCTATCTGTATTTTATGGAGTCAGGAACAAATTACTTTTTTAATTTCCGAAATCCTATGGATTAAATGAACTTGATCGTGTAGTTTTTTTTTTTTTCACTGCAATGCTCATTGTTAACTTTGCTTATCGGTGCTCTTTATTGATTTTCTTGGTTTTGAATAAAGTGTTTTGAATCTAGGGCATCTTTAATTGGTTTTTCTAAATTGTGTTTTTGTGAGTTGGAAAATGGTGCTGTGTGAGTTGTGATGTTTCGTTGAAACATGTTTGGGCACCATCAAATCTCAGACCATTATCTTTAGATGATAACATGATTCAATTGTTTACTGCAGTTCTTTGGCAGGTATATTTGATGCAGGTGCTGCGGCAGTAGTTACTACTACTACTACTAGTAGCTGCATATACAATCTTTACTCACTAGTGTCTTGATTTTTAAAACTTGTCAGAGACCTTGATGGCTTTTGGTCAATGATTTTTTGAATTTTCAATATCCTAGTTTCTGAAGAATAGTTGAAGTATGCGTTTGTGACTGAAGTTTTCTGGAAACTACGTTCTCTTTGGGACCGAGTCACTGCAAGAGTTGCTAACTGAAATCCTAATCCTAATACTTGAATAGCAGTTTTGTGACACGAGATGCTGACTTGTTAAAATGGGTTTTCATTGTATTGAAAAATAGATTTTGACAAACGTGTTTTAAAACCTGAACTATTTTCAAACAGTAGATCGATTATCTATCGTTTAATCTTTTAGAGTTTTGAAGTAGGATTTGTGATCAGTTTCAAGGGAATGTTTCTTGTCTGGGGGTTGGTCATTTCTCCATGGGTATAGAGCTTGTAGCTGAACTTGTGGCTTTATCTTGGTCGATTAAGGCCATAAGCTTTGTGGACTTCAGTATTGGTGATAGTTATCAGGAACTAATTGCGATAGGCTTCATGGGAGCAAGGCAAAAAATTGCAAGAGGTAATTGAACAATTCATACAACTATAGGCACCATTGATTAAAGCAGCTTCGCCATCTCAGTCCCGGTTGTTAAACAAAAAAGGAGGATATTGTGATCCCATTGATTAAAGCAGCTTCGCCATCTCAGTCCCGGTTGTTAAACAAAAAAGGAGGATATTGTGATCCGTGGATCAGCTGTAATTCTGAAGATGGTAACTCCGCCTTTAATTGCAATTCTCAGAATTGATAATTCTTACCTTGGAGAGTTACAGATGACGGGAAGTCGGGTGCAATGATCTCTCCCGGACTTTTATGTACGGCTTGTTGCACGGTAAAGTTTTGTCGGCGACGTATTGCTGCTTATACCGGTGAACGGGTGAAGTCGTAGATGCTAGATATGTATGTTCTACAGGCAGGGAGGATTCTTTTGGTACAAAATTGATTATTGTTAATTGAAAGATATAACAATAGGTGATTGAACTCACGTTTGAGATCAAATCCGCCAGCTTCTTTTGTCACCGTGCCGTCGGAAGTTGTTTTCACGAAGATGATTTCTCAGTTGAACAGCGAGCGGCACTGTTGTTGCGCGAAAAATGCGAAGGCCGATTGAATTGAAGTGACAGGATCAAAGCAGTTGTTTAAAAGGAGGTTGGATCTATACGTGATGCTGCTTAATGGAGGCTATAAATTTGAATACGGCTTTTTTTTATTTTAGTTTGTGTTTTTGAAAACTGGCTTTACCAAACACGTATTTATGTTTTTAAGTTATAAAATTTGTGTTCACATAGAGTACTAAATGGGCTCTAAAACATTTCTCAAATTAAATTTGAGTAGTAGACTGATTTACAGGTGGCATTGTTGAAAAGGAACCCAGATGCTCTCCAGATCTCAAAAAACTGAGCCTAAAAATCAAGTGATCTGAACTTTTGAAATTTGATCTAACGGTTATAAACAGGGGATTTTTTGAAAGTTATAATAATTGTAATTGTTGGATCAAATTTTAACGGTCCGGATCATTTGAATCTTAGACTCAGATTTTTTGGATATCTGGGTTTGTTGAAAACAACAACGAAGAGATGGATGGTTGTGTTTTCTAGGACAGAACTTGTACTTAGACGTGTATTTGGTCCAGCTTCAATGCAACATAGCATTTAGTTATGTCAATGTTTTATTCATTAAATTTGATTTTCATAATTATTAGATTTTTTATTTTTAATTTTAGTCATTTATTTTTTGTATCAGTTACCATTGAAGAAAAATTGGTGGTATTTAGAAAACTCAAGGTTTTGCATCCATAATTTATGAGAAACTTCGAAACTTAACTCGCTCTGTAAGTTATCAACTTTTAATCTCCTTGCAATAGTTGTTTTAGAGGTCATTTGATAACTATTTTGTTTTAAGTTTCTAGTTTTCACTTTTTGGGAAACTGAAATTGTGTTTAATAACTACTTTTAATTTTCACAAAAAATTGAAAACTAAAAACTAAAAGTGAAATTGAAGGTTAAATTTTTTCAGTTTTCAAAACTAATAGTAGTTACCAAATAAGATTTCAATTTTTAGTTTTAAAAAAGTGAAAAATTAAAAACAAAATGGTTATCATACAGGTTTCCACGAAATCCTTGCTTGTTTTTTCTCACTTGCTAATGCAGAGTGGTAAACCATTTTGGTTAGAAGAGTATTTATCTAGAGTCGTTTATTTTTTAGGTCTTCCTTGACACAGCCTCAACCTAAATCGAGGTATGCTGGTCGTCACGTGAGGGTGACATAACCATGTGTGCAATGCGGAAGTGATAGTGATACGAATATGTGGGTAAATAAAAACCAAACTAGCTACTTTACACTAGGTAAGTATATAAGTACGAGTGAAGGTGTTTAAAATAGTAATGCAAGTGCTCAAAGCGTAGGTAACCTAAGTGCAGTCCAGCAGGCTAAATATTAATTATACAAGGCATGAAAGAAATCCCTATATTATTTGAAGTTTGTTAGAATTGCCATAGAATTCTCGTAAGCCACCAACACGAACTTCTACCTAGAACCTGGAGGGGCGCAAAACAAAAAGTAGTGAGTGAGCAAAAACAAAGTTTTTGAAAACATCTTTGCCTTTAGAAACCTAATAACCCCTCACCGTAAAACCCGTATAATTTCCCAGAAAATAATACTACATACGTATATAGAAATAATCCACGAAAGCAATGTAAACCAAGTATATGCCATGTCACTATCTTAGCAGTAAATATGTAAGCTAGGTGATATAAATCAATGTAAAAATGATATGCCAGCTGGAGTCACCTAATGTGACCTATACGATTGAACCTATTGCTCATCAATCCAGCCGGAGTCACCTAATGTGACATGTACGACACTAAACTTGCACACGAGTCAGAACCACTTAATGTGGTTTGTACGACAGGCTGGCACCTGACTTGGATCCAAGTTGAGCGTGCGATGCAGGAGGTGAACGATCACGTGAAGGCTAGGCCTTGGCCACTAGCGGAGCACTAACACCAGGGTGCAGGACAATGAGCTCTATGTGCATCAACTCATAATCAACTACCATGCAACCATATTGTCAATATATACTCACTTGAACTTACCTAGGCCTCCGCAGCATCATGCAATATTATGCAAAGCTATACTAATGCATATGCTAAAATGTAAAGCAAACATGACATGACATTTTAAACAAAATTCCGTTTAAAAATAGTTTCTGGGAAACGCATATATATATATATGTATGTGTGTGTGTGTGTATATATATATATATAAAACCAAAAGCCTACTTACTGGCATGTAGCAGGGTCATAACCCCCGAGTCTCGCTTGGCTGCGCTCGTCCTCTGGAAACGTCTCACCTATATGTGAAACAATTATTTTAACTTTAATTTTAAGCACATAACCAAAATCATGTAACAACTTCTCGTATGTTGCTCAATTGGGATATTTGAATATGCTATCGTGGCCTACTCAACACCACGAGCATCCCTATATTTTTAGAATAATTTTTCGACGCCCCACGCACCCTCATGCTCCGGCCAAGGCATTGGAACACGCGCCGGCCACGTGCAAGCACATGCCTGGCACACAAATAGAATCCCTAAAGGCGTTATGAATTATTCCGTTAAATAGAAGCATATACCGTTATATTTACCTGACGCCGTTAGTATATTCCGTCAAAGTTGACGGAATATTCTTCTTTCTTCTCCAGTGGTTCGCGGATTCCAACACCGATGCCGCTGCGTCGCCGAATTTTGGAAAAATCTAAAACTTCAATATCTCTCTCATTTCTCAACCAAAATTCACGAATTTCATATGGATTCGAGGTTCTTAAAGTATAGAACACAACCATACCTATTTGAAGTCCTAAAACTGACGAAAAGTGGTCGGAAAACCTTCGAAACCTCTGGCTAAACCTCCAACTCTATGAATCCTTTTCATCCCGATGTTCTATCCACTCCAAACTAACCTAGGGTCCCATTAGAGTTGATTAGGACCCCTTTAGAACCTTAAATCCTTGTAGAACTTCGGCGACCACGTTGGAGTAAACTTCCACCTCGCCAGAGCTCGTGTGTTCTTGGGTTTTTGAAGTCCTTTCTTTGAACCAACGGTACCACCAGGCTTATGAAGTCAAGAAGAGGGTGATGATAACCTTAGTGGGTTTGATCCGTGACAGTTTTAATGGTGTTTGAAGGTTGGAAGGCTCGGTCATACGGACGATAGAAAATTCGAGAGAAATGGTGAGGGTGTGAGTTATGTACGTGTGTGTGTGGGTGTGTTCGTGTAGGTTACGGGATTGGGCAGCATAAAAGGATCATAAGCCCTGATTGGGCTATGTGATTTAAGGCCTAACAATTGGTCCAAAAGAAGTAAAACAAGCATAAAATTCTATTTGGGTCCAAGGTTGTAAGAAAAAAAGATAATTGGTGGATAGGTTATGGACAACCCAAAACTATAACTTTACCCAATTACACTTATTTGTTCGTAACTTCCTTATCACGATTCCAGTTTGATCCTAACTCGCGTCGACGTTCTCATAATGTCACGTATAATTTAATCACGTCATTTGGAAAAATAATTTAAAACTATAAACGTACATCCCAGTCACTAAGCCAACGAGGGCATAATCGTCATTTTACAT